ATCTAATTTAACTGATTAGCAAAACAGTTTGTTAGCTTTCCATCCTGAGGCCGACAACAGATACCTATCTAATGGAGCTTTTTGCCATGAATATGGCTGCTTCCATAGGTTTTATTTTGAAGACTTAGTAAAGAGTTTACTGCAACAATGTCTAATTTTGAAAAATCTAGACGAGAAATATAAGAGGGATGCAGTTATTAGGAACCAATTATGACAAAAAATTAGTTATGTTTACTAGCCTTTACAAACTGGCTTTCTATTATCCAGAACAAAGAGTACTTTGTATTTGAAAAGTCATTAATAAGTAGCATAGCTAAATCTTTCCTGCTGCTCTGGGATATTTTGTTTCCTTTCAGCCATCTATGCATTTCTTGTACACACCAAGGTTATCTATGGCTAGTCCATTGTTAGTTTAGCGTCATGTACTTCCATCTTACTTAGTCTGAAAAAACAGGGCAGAAGGCGTAGCTAGGGGTGGTTCCTTATGTTAAAAAGCAATTAACCTTTTAAAGAGTGTTATGAATTTTCAGAACAGAAAAAAAATTATCTAAATAATCTATTATTGAATATAATATTTTGGCAAGCCAATGGATGAAAGTATGAACTGAATGAAAATAAGTACGCTAGAAGAGAAAGATACCAGTAGCTTGTAGATAAATTACTTAATTTAACTATACTTAAATATCTGCCTACACTTTTGTCATAAAAAGAAACATATGGTAGTATCCTCATGTTCTATGGCAATATGACAAAATATGGCTGTCGTGGTTTGAGACGGAAAAAGAATTTTTCCAGAAAGAAGAGGTCAGTTTGGACATTGACCAATTGAAAGTAGACACGCCTCTGAGAACACAGAGGGGTTAAAAGCAGAATTCCCAGGGGAACTCGCTCTCTTAGGTTCTGGTCAGCGGTCAGTGCAGGACTCTCCCCTGCCCGGCCACGAGCTGGGTGGGGGAGGGAAGAAGCCATGTGGCCTTCGGAGGCAGGCCCAAGGGTGGAGGGACTGGAACCGGGCTGGCCCCCTGCAGATGGAAGGGTGGACAAAATCTGGGATGTCTCCATTCCCCCCAGAGTCTCTCTCTCTCCCAAGAGAGAAAGAGACAGCGGTAGTTTTATCAGCAGTTCACCGCGGGGAAGGAGAAGAGCGGGGGGGGTCTCAAGGTGCCCAGCCGCCTGTGGGAGCTGGAGCCTGGGCAGCGAGCCATCCTTGGGAGTCGGGACTTTTAACCCTTCCTGAGAAATGAAAGCTTTGTGAAATTTTTCTCCTCCTTGGTTTGAAAAGAGAGGAAGAGAGACAGCCTGGGACCTGGGATGTCGGAAGGAGAAATTCTAGGTGGGAGGAGATGATGGAGTGGCTTTTTGGCTGGACTTTTTCTTGGTAGCCACAGATTGAACTGATCTTCTCCTCCAACAGAGACTGTATTTTAGGAGGATGCTTGTGAGCCAAAGAGACCTGCTTCAGCTGGGAAAAGACAGAAGTGGAGCGAACAGAGAAAAGTTAAGGAGGTTTGTGGTGGTGCCCCCTGTCTTCGCAGAGGAAGAAAAGATCTCTGTTCTTGGATCCTCGGCCCCAGGAGAAAATGGGGGGGACTGTTGATCCCAAAAATGAAAAACTGAACTTTTGTTTTTTCCCCTCTTGGCAGGGCATCCTTGAAAGGAAAAAATCCTAAGAGCAGTCTGTCCATCCATGCATTGGTGGTGAGAGCACTGTGCATGGAAAGGAGAGGGTCACCACTGGCAAACTTTTTCTCCGGGCGGTGCCATGTGGTGACATGGAAGCACAGGATGTGGCAGCTGTGTTTCTTGGGGGGTCTGTGGCACAAGAGAGAAACTCCTCTCTCCCTGCAGATGGACTGGGTGTTGATTATCTGGAAGGTAGAAACCTGATTGGGGTCCAGATTGTGTCTCACTGTAGTTTGTTGAAGTTGGGTGGTGGGAGGAGGAATGCTTTGGAAGGTTTTCATTTTAAATTGTGTGTGTTTTCTTTCTTCTTTCCCCCCCCCCCCCCCCCCCCCCCCACCCCCCCCCCCCCCCCCTTTTATAGTAGCATAGTGGTAGTAGTTTAATAAAGTTTTTTTCTTGTTATTAAGCTTGGGCCTGCTTTACTCTGTTCTCGATCATATTTCACAGCATTCAGTTGAGAAATTGCATTTTCATGGGGGGCACTGGCATTGTGCCAGTGTCAAACCATGACAATGGCTCATTCCATAACAGTAAAATAAAATACTGGAAATTTCTAAAAGTACTGAGAGCATTGTATTTTTCTCTTTGAGTAATCAAAGTTTAAATTAATACATACTGTATTTGTAGTTACTCCTTGAGACTTACACCAGCCTCTAATCATTTACCTTTCATATCAAAGTGAGCTTAAGAAATCACTGACTCCCTCTTTTGCAAAAGTTATGTAGTATAATTAAATACTTGTATACTCAGGATTAAAAAAGGCAGCAAACAGCATAAAACAATAATGAAAATAATGGTCCTGAGAGTAAGTATTCATTGGCACAAGCTGAGATACAAGAACACCATACAATTCTGATAATACTGTATCTTTTAAATTTATTTCCAAATTGTTAATGTGAACAACAGTTTAGTCTATCAAAAGAAAGAGTCGTGTCATTACAGACCCTTGAAGAAATTGTGGTTTATGTGCACAAAAATATGTATTTAAATATATAGAGTTTGTAATTTCCCACAGGTATTTAATTTTTGTGTTCTTTATGCTTTCTCAAGGTTTTTATATCCAGTAACAAAACAGAACAATATTAACTGATAAAAATTACAAGAGATTAGGAAATCTAAATTATAAATAACATAGCAAATAATTAGTGAGGAAACACTGGCTAGAATTTGTATCTCTAAAACAATTAAATATCTTTTTGTAATATTTCCACGTATACAAAAATATTGCAGTGGTTTCACATATAAATTTTTATAGAAAAATCAACGAATAATTTTTAATAAGTCAGTCATATTGAAGGGTGCACCTAGCTGTGATAATTGTTTGTTCTTATTTCCTTGTGATAAAAACAAACAAGATCATCAACAAAAAACCATTAAGCAGATGAAAGACAAACTGAAATTTAGACCCCTTTGAAGATATGGCCTGTATTGCAGGAACAGACTGATATATATATGTATGTGTGTGTATATATATATATATATATATATATATATATATATATAATGGTCTTTTATATCCAGGAAAACAATGAATAAACTCATCAGGACTGTTTTCCCTTCTAACCAGCAGCTAAAAGGAGGAACAACTTTTCTCACACTTACAGACACAAGTTCTCAAATTCTGCTGCCATATGTGCTGGAAACATTTTTTGCTTGCATTTTACATAATCATCCCGTTTCATAAAGGAGAGTCTGCTTTCTGCCTAACCCTTTGCAATGCACTATCTTTGAAGGGATGGCTTTATTTTTATATGCTGAAATTATTTCATATTTGGAAGCTTGGAAGGGGTTACTTTAATCACCAGGGGTAAGCATTCATCACTTTTTCGAGTTTAAAATCTGGTCTAAATTTTATATTTCTTGTACATATGGGTTTTTTCATTGATTATAGGTCATGAAGACAGTAAACCCTTACGAAAACACCAGAAATTGTGAACTTTTGTCTCTCATATCAGCAGTTAAAATAGACAGGTTCTAGGTACATTTAGAAGGATGTTGGTTTTCATGTAAAACTGTGTAAGGAGTATCTGACTTTGATATTACCAATTCTACTTTCAATTAATACTGGACCATAAGTGTTCTTTAGAGTCTTCTTGTAGTTCCTTTATCAAAACATTGGTTTTCATGTAATCACTCTTCTGCCTTACTATATCATGTCAAAAAAAGGCTTACTTCTGGGTGATAGTGATAGATTTCAAAATGTGCAACGGGGTTTTTGTATTACAGCTTTCTGATATGTTGATTTAGAAAGTAGATCACTTCAAAATAAGCCCTTGAAAATAAGTGCATTCTTCCACTTATATATTTACCATCTTTGATAAATCCAAGTAAGAGCTGATGAAAGTAATTCTAAAAATATCAATTTGTTCCATGCCTGTACATAGAATCTGCTGAAGATATGCTTTATAAGGGATAGCACAGAGGTAATTTTATGATGGTTCAGATGCTTCTGGTCTAGCTTTGAGAACAAAGAATATACCTGGCTACCCATGGTCAAACTATTATTCTTGTAGTAGATGAATTTGGATGCTAGGTTTTGTGGGTTTTGTGGGGTTTTTTTCCTTTTTATGATCAATTCCTTTTGAACAGACTTTTTCTTTCACTTTGGAGATAACCAAGTATGGTCACATTACCTCATTGCAAGTCAAATAGAAAACAGTTGTTGTTATCCTTGGTGTGTCTCAGTTAAGGAAGAAAATTTTGATCTACAGTGAGGAGAAACTGAAGGTTCAGTAAAGCATCAGGCAAGCATCTGAACATTTACTGTGTCAATGTCTCATGCATACATGGACATAAAAATCTCCTAGCCTTACAAATACCTATTTGTTGAGAAAATTTTATTTTCCAGGCTTTTGTCCTTATTTGGAAGGTGGACAGCTCAGTTATCTAATGCATTGTAAGCAGGCATATTACTAAGTGGTTTATAGCAGGCAGATTTCCAAAAATATCCCTCTGTCTATTTCCTTTCCCACAAACAGGAGCATTAACTGAAAGAACTAGTGGAAGGTACAATAGCTTGATGTGCCCAGGATAGCCTTAGAGTTCAGTACTTTCAGATTTCCCAGTGCTGAGGCCCTCATTCCAAATTGCCCAACTGTAAACAAAAACAAGTTCCCAGTGGGAACACCTGCATGCCTTATTCCTCCTAACATATGTTGAGAACTACAGCTTTTCATGACTTAAAATTACAGGAGCATCTACGTACTTTCTAAAATCTTCCCCTAAATCCTTTAGGGTCCAGCTCTCCACAGGTTCCCCAGAAATTCACAGCTAGGACTTCCAAGCAGAAATTTCACATGTATTTATTCAGCACTTACTGAGAGAAGATGATCCAGCAGTTTCTTATTCAACTCACGATGTTCATCTGTACTGCCATCCAAAATGTAAAATTATCTTGATATAGCACTTCTGCATTTATTTCTCTGTCTGTAGATCTGTGGCAGTCTTTCTTGACAGCTAATGTTCCCCTATTTTCCAGCACAGGAGATCTTATAGATACAATGTTCTCATTTTCATGTTTCTCCCATAGAAACAGCAAGTTTTCTTGTTCAGGGGATCATGTTCAACATTTCTGATCAGTACAAAGTGAAGCACTAGAGGAAGCAGAATTCTGTTAAGACTCTTTGGCTCTGAGTAATCACAAAGAGCCAATGGTGCCAGGAATAAATCACATGAAGAGAAATACTTTGAGCAGAGGAATGGAGCTGTGAAAACTTCACTAGAATTGGAATGCTCCAGAAACACAGAGAACAACTGGAGAAGGTTTACACAGCACCCAACTTTTGGGTATAGACATAGGACTACAGAATGAGGGAATTATTGCAGTTCAAAAATGCTACAAAGCTTCAATTCTAAATGGATTTCTGCTCCTACCTCATGCATAACACACTAAACTATGTTAGTGTAGGAATGCTTGGAAGTTAAAAAAAAAAAAAAAACAAACCCAAACCAACAAAACCCAATGTTTTTTCTGAGCCATAAAAACTTTTTGAAAGACAATTTAGGGATATGCACTAGCCAATACTCCATATTCCACCTCAATTGCAAAGACAGGTGCATGCACAGAGAGGTTGAAATGCAGCTCACATGTCAACAGTGGCCAATGTGTTACCAACCAAGTTATTGCAATCTATTGTATACTGATCTATGCAAACCTTCAACAGTGGGACCGTGGGACAGACTCAAAATGTAACATCAGATTTTTTGATATCTGATTTTGAAGACATTCTCTTTCTTAGAGTTTCCCAACTTATTGCAAGTAAACAAATTATGAAATTACTACCTGGTTTTGTGAGTAGGAAATACATATATTAAACATGTAAGTGACACCCTCACCAAGAACAGCAAACCCACACCAAAACAGAAAAAAACAATCAAAGACAAACAGTGAAAGAGAAGAGAGTAAAGATCCAAATTTGCCATTTTGAGTCTGATGAAATCTTACATACATGGAAGGTTTTGTTTGGAAAATCATTCTATATACCCAAGCTACTGGAAAAAACAAATATATGCATTTGAATAAGCTACATCATATTCTGGTTCGAATTATTTGATACCAGCTGAGAGAGAAAAAAAAAAACAACAAACCTGGTAAGTCTCAGTCCTGAGGGGCTGAAATTAGTACCTGCTTCTTGCTTGCATTGACTGGATGCTTAGCATTCCAAGCTGTGAAGTGAGCTTAACTATGGAAATATTTTTCAGCCTTTGCTATAGCAAGTATATAAACCTACAGCTGGAAAACAAGTACTTGACTTTCTGAAGGAAGACCACCTTTCTCCTGCTTTTCTTTATGACACTGAAAAGTGCCATCCATTTAATACAAATTTATAGTTTTCTATGTATCTTAGTTTATAATGTAAAATGCAACCAAAATTTGGTATTTTCTTATCATCCTCATAAGCTGTTAAAAACATGTGGGGCAATGTTCTTTTCTCTTCCATGACTCATCCCTGATAACTTCCTCTGGAGCTATCTCTGCTAAAGGGCCATCAAGCCTCACTGCATGACTGATAAAATTACATCATCCCATTGTGAGATGCTCTGCCCAGGAGGATGAACCAAACATTCCTGCCTGGCTATAATCTGTGTTTGGAATACAATGAGCAGCACTACCCACTGGATTCCCTGAGGAGAAGAACTTCATAATCAATACTGGACCTCCAGAAAAGGACCCAATTCACTACAGGATCACCACTGCAAGAGAATAACATTCATCATTCCAACAGGACTGCAGCCACCATTTAATCAGATTTCTACTACCACCCTGATCAACAGGGTGTCAGGTCATATCCTGGCTGTCATTTTAAGCCAGTGCTTCTGTATTATTGCCTTTATCTTAATTTTCCTATTAAATTCTAATTCTGGCTAGGGATCTCCCATTGGTTTGCTTTCAAACTAGTACACTGACTTCTGGTATAATCCAGCTATCAACTGTAACACTTTGGGAGTGTCAGTTCAGTGAAATTTGGTTTTCTGAACCAAAGCAAAGCAAAGGAAACCAAAGGGAAGCAAACCAAACCAAAAGTAGTCTTTCTGTTGATTTCTGTCCCTAAGGTCCTAATAAATTGTTCAACTGCAGCCACTTCTGAGATGGACAAATTAAGAACTGTTAATGGTATTTTTCCTTAATGGGTAGCAAAATATAGAAATACTAGTTTTCTGAATATAAAAAATGACTGTACAAAAGTCACATCAGGTGGATAATAGAGAAGGGTTTCTTTGGCCTTCAGGTATTAGCATTTAAAAAAAAATAGGAATAAAACCTAAAGTAGTGTACATACGGCAAAACACAAAAGAAGATGCAGTGATTTTTCAAAGTTTTTTCATTCTGTTTTATGTTTCTGTCCAGTTGCCAAGATTTAAATAGGACATCTGGATAAAAAAGAAGAAAAGTTAGAAATGCTTTGCTTCTTATCCTTTATTTAGAAAAGAGGGAAAAAAAGTTTGAAATGAGAAGGCAGAGGTTAGAAACAATATTATCTACTCATAGCAAGACAGAATAGGGTATTTTAAGATAGTTTTTTTTTACTGTCTGTTGAACCAGGAAATACAGGCTAGAGACTTTACATTTAATTGGTAGTGTTTTTCTGGTTTCATTTCTTGTCCAAAGATTTTAAGGAGAAAGGAAATTATATGTATATACATTTTTCTGAAGACTATAAAGGGAAAATTAAAATGCACTTCAAATAGAAAACATGTGCCTCCTGAAGATGCTTCTTTCATCTAGATAAGGTAAGGAGATGTTGAATGATAACAAAAGGTTTCTTTATCAAAGGTGATTATTAGTTACTCAGTGGATTATACGTTATCATTATCTGTAAAATTAAAACAAAACAAAACAAAACAAAACAGGTGTGTTTCAAGAGAAGAAAGTCTAGAGACTAACTGGCAGAGAACACATTCACAGTTTTAAGTTTTTGGAAAGCACAAAAGCCCAGCCACTAGTCATACCCACACATCTGAGAATAGGCACAGAAACCTCACAAAATACATTAAATATCAACTCAATAATAGTGTAGTAGAGACCATATCATAGCAGGGGTCCTCGTTGAGTAATAATTAGCATTGACTCCATGATTGCAGAATGCTGATTAATCGCTTTATTGTACTATACTGTACTATACTGTACTATACTATAATATAATATACTATACTATACTACACTACACTACACTAAACTGTACTCGACGCTAAGAAACACTCATCTCTCCTGCTGACAGTCCAATACAGACAGCCCAGATTCGTTAATTGAAATCCAAACACCATCACCATTGGCCAATTAAGAAATCACCCTTTGATAAACAAATTTCCGTAACACATTCTACATGTGCCCAACAGCAGATGTAACAAGTGGAGATAGGAATTGTTTCTCATTCTTTTCTCAGAATTTTCTCACAGCTTCCCGGGAAAATCCTGGGAGAGGATTTTCTTTCTCTCTCTGTTCAGAGGATATGTGATTACCACAAGACCAGACGCCGTAGAAAATGTCTCTGTTTTTATAATGTTCAATACTGGCATGGACAGAAAGTTCATACACTCAGTTGTGGTTCTTGGCCAGCCTGAAAAAATGTCCCATAGGTGGAAACCCAGGAAAATTACGAAAAGCCAAGGGAGAAGGATCTGCTTCTACAATTAGGACAATTCTTATGTGAGTTTTCAACTAGGTAGAAAGGTGCAACACAAGACACGACTGTCCCACGGTAGATGCACATACTGGGATTCTACATAAATCCCATCTCTTCTACAACTTCTTTAGCATAAACTCTTAGATATTCAACACCTTTTTCTTTCACATCAAAGTTATCACTGATTCATAGTCACAGAGTGAATATTAATTCATATAGAAAGAAAATACATTGTTCCAGTCACTGTATTTCACCATAGTGACCACTGATAATAAAAAAATTATGCCAGCTTTTCAAAAAGCCTAAGAAACAGTTTTTCATAAGATGACCATCATAAATTTACTGCTTACAAATTTCCAGATTCAGGTTGTCAAGCATCCTGTGCTTCCAGTCTTGTTATCTACCACTGTTATAGGTCATGGAACTGTAAGTGTAGGACAGAAACTATCAGAACAGTTCTGATGCTTCTGTTGTTTGAAAGTGCAAATTTCAGCTTACTGATGAACACCTTCTGAGTTCTATTAAAAGAATGAGGACACATGCGAGATTAGATCAGAACTGCCAAGAATCCATAAGAGTGATTTAGAACTAGGAAATTCCATCATGGCTATGATCTTAATCTTGTCTTGAAACTAAAAGGCTATATGCAGAACAAAACAAGAATTTAAAAAAAAAGCAATCTGAAGATAAAACGTGTAGAACTCATTCATTTCATAAAAGAATGTATCCACTTCCTTCAAGAAAATTATACTGCAGGTAACTTCCATTTCAGTCTATATACAAGTATCTAAGGCACACAGAGGTCACAGGAAAAGGCAAATATTCCAACACTAGCTGGAAGCACAAGGAATGGTGCTGTGAAGTATGCATGTTGTTTCAACATAATTTCCTGATGAATGAGGACTATGTGTACTTGAGATGTCTCTACAGGAGTCTAATAATATTTCAGTCACTAGGATATCAATGGTAAAGAGGAGACTAGAATAGAAGAACATTTAAGCTGAAACACTTGAGTTTGATGAGGACTTAGTGTCTAAGCTAAACCTATGTAGGTAATATTTTAAATCACAGCACAGGAAGACAATTAAGCATCAGTTTAATATATACTTAATGACAGGAAAACCAGAATCTTTTGAAGATATTTTGCAGGTAATGCAAGCCCTTCTTTCAGCTTCAAAATGAGGAATAGTTGAAGCCTAGAGGACATTAGTCGTTGGAAGCTGTGTCCTTGACAGTTTACATACAGTATCTATCACTTAGATATCTGCCATCAGGGACTGGCAGGCATAGAAAAGATGGTGTTCAGACAGTTTTTAATGCTTCTGGCAAGTACAAACTCTTTTTAGTTTAAGTCCACTGAGGACTTAATGCAGACAATTAATCCACAATGTAGACAATCCCGACAGTACAGGTACTTGATACTATAATTTAATGGTTTTCTGGCATAGTTGAGAATCTCATACTTCTGGGCTGAAATGGCTGTGATGTTTTTATTGGCATTGTTATTGGTTAATTGCCTGGGAGAAGAGCTTGTTAGTTTGGGAGAAGGGTTATTAGAGGTTAGGAGAGTTTGATTTGTTTTTCAGTTTTTTTGGTAGTGGTGATTTCCTTTGGGGTTTTTTGTTTCATTTTGTTGGTTTTTTGTTTGTTTGTTTGATTGATTGTTTGTTTTTTCTGTTTTATATAAGCCTTTAGACACTGAAATGGCCCTCTTGATAATTCTGCATATATCTATAG